GTCCTTCCAGCTGTCCTCTGACCTCCAAATGTGAGACACAGCTCCTCTCGTCCCCCTACACACTCATGCCAAGACAAAATAAAACTTCAAAATGTAATCTGAACTTTTCAGTAAATGAAGACAAGAAGCACAGCTGAAAGAGAGCCAGAGGCCTCTCTGTACCAGCTTGTTCCCTATAAAGGGACTTGAAGCCACACAAGAGGCTTACCCTTCCTCAGCACTAGATCGTGATTTCTCTGGAAAAGGTGTTTCAACTCCTGCAGCTGTAGCCCTGTCACAGAGGCAGCTGCAGGACCCCAGCGCGGGCACAGGCTGCATTTTGTGCACGGTAACTGGAATGGACTGTGCACTGGGCGTCAGAACTGACACAGGCTGGACATGGGGTCCTGTAATGGTACAGGCTGCTAATTGTGTGATATTGTACTTGGCATAGACTGAACACTGGATACTGTAATTGGTTTGGCTGTACACAACCCACCTGGAATAGCATAGGGTGTGCAATAGGAACTGCCATAGGTGGTGTGCTAGATAACTTAACTGGCATAGCCTGTACATTGGACATAGTAAATGGCACGGGACAGACATGGGGAACAGAAACAGGCATAGGCTGTATCTGGACCTCAGTGATTGACACAGGCAGTACCTGGGGCACAGTAACAGGTACAGGCTGTACTTGAGGCACAGTAACAGGCACAGCTGTACACGGTGCACATTAACAGGCACAGGCTGTATATGGGACAGTAACAGGCAGAGGCTGTACACCAGGCACTGTTACTGACATACACTGTTCTCAGGGCACCAGATGTGACATATGCTGTACACAGATCACAAAGCTGCACAGCCTCGGTGCCCCCTATGCTCTCAGGAACTGGCTTCTGAGGTGGACGCTCATTCTCGTGGCTATTGGGACTGGCACTCTCTCGGTCATCCATGAGGCCGAATGTACAGTAGCAGAAGGACCTTCTCCAGTCTTCCCTGTTTTTCTGTTCTACTCCTCTCCATTCTGCTGTTGAGGTCCCGACGCAGGGTGGTCCCTTCCAACCTCTTCCTCATTTCTTCCCTCTTCATATGGGGAGAGCATCAGTGTCTCAGCACCTGAAAGTAGAAAACAGAAAGAAGAGGCGACAGGGACCAGGGTGGTGCAAAGTCGCTATGACATCAAGGCAGGTGAAGCCCTCAGTGCCCCACGCCTCTCCAGTCACCTCTGAGAAACAATATCCCCTCATGGACATGGCCAACCCACCACTCCTAGCATGCACTGACCTTTCCATTTTTCCTGGTCAGGTCCCTCAAGAGGCAGGTGTTTGATGTTTCACGCTCCATGACAGGAATGCTATCAAAGTCGCTTGAGGTTTGCCTTCCTTTGTGTCCCTTCACATTCTGAGGGGGAGACCCATATACTTCTGGCAGGAGAACTACTCCACCAGGAAGGCTTCTTTCTCTTCTACACCTTAACGACCTAACATCCAGGTTATTTTAACCAATCAGAAGCCTTCCTTCCTGGCTTCCTGGGATGATTGATAGTTGCAATGGACTGAGCCCCTGAGGTCCAAAACCAACAGCAGTGTAGCTGGAGTTTTCTCTCTGGATCCTGCCAAGCCTCGGCAGTCCGACAGCCCACGTATAAAATAAACACACAGATGCTTATATTATTTAAACTATTTGGCCATGGCAGGCTTCTTGCTAACTGTTCTTATATCTTAAATTAACCCATTTCTATAAATCAATACCTTGCCACATGGCTCGTGGCTTACCGGCATCTTAACATGCTGCTTGTCATGGCTGTGGCTGGCAGTGTCTCCCCCCTCACAGCAGTTTGGAGCTTCAGTGAGCAGGATGTGTTTACAGGGAAGGTGTGGCCCTTGGGCAAGAAGAGTGTTGAAGGAACCTTCCAAGTGGCATCTCAACTGAGTCCCCTGGCCTTGGGGTATTAACTTCCTAGGAAATGGGTGGGGGTCAACTATGGGAACAAATCTGCAGTGAGTAAGAAACAAAAACAATAATTCTGAGGCCTTGTGGAAATGTGTGGACCATGTATCTTGGGGAAGGTGGGAAAACCTCACAATGAGCACATGAGGCTTGGGTGAAGACTGGAAAATTTCTCAACATTCCAGACCCCACATTTCCGAGTCTCTATGACACATGAGATGAACATTGAGTGGGCAGGGTCAGCTCTGCATGTGTCTGCTTCAAGAGTCTTCAAGGACTCTGAAAGCAGAGACCAATCCCAGACCTCCACCTTCAGCAGTGGCATTTTAGTCCCATGTTTACAGTGTGTTGTGCAGCACTTCGAAAAAGCCATTGCAACCCTTGGAAAAGTTAACAGACTCCAGAAAGCCAGTGAAGAATCTGCATTAGAATGCTTATAGAAGGTCCTGTCCAGCACTTCTCAGCTCTGCAAGATCAGACACTGCACCAACTGCACCCTTTGTGTTGCAGTACAAACTGCTGAGGGCTGAGGGTGCATTCCTACAATAACCTGGGCAGAGTAAGTGCCACAGACACTGGAAAGCCATAAACAGGGGAGAGGTTGTATGCACTTCTTGTGGTAGAGGGACTGATCTCATTGACAGTGTTTCAGAATGCTGGGGTTAGGGTGGGGTGCTGTGGGATGTTCTGTATGTTAAATGTGTTGCTCTGTTTGATTAATAAATAAAACACTGATTGGTCAGTAGCCAGGCAAGAAGTAAAGGCGGGACAAGGAGAGAGGAGAATTCTGGGAACAGGAAGGCTGAGGCAGAGAGACGCTACCAGCTTCCGCCATGGAAAGCGAGATGTAAGGTACCTGTAAGCCACGAGTCATGTGGCAACTTATAGACTAATAGATATGGGTTAGTTTGAGATATAAGAACTAGATAACAAGAAGCCTGAGACATTAGGCCAAACAATTTAAATAATATAAGCATCTGTGTGTTTATTTTATAAATGGGCTGCCGGGCTGCCTGGGCTTGGTGGGCCCCTGAGAGAAAACTCCAGCTACAGTGGGGTGTTAATAGGACCTGAGAATGCAAATGCAGTATTTTCCTTTGGTTTGTTTCTTTGTTTTGTGTTTGTGATGGTCTCTCATGTATCCCTGGGAAGCCTGAACATCACATGTCCCATACTTTGTACATCAGAATGACTAGTGCTGTACTTCCTTGTGTTTTACCCTCCCACTGTTCACAGGAGTGCATAGAAATATCTGGCTTTTGGTTAATTAACTAATTATAAAAAAGAGGTATTAGAACTGGAGGCTTAGCTGTGCATAGAGCTGCAGCATGGCTGGACAGCCCCCAGGAATTCTAATTATATTGTAGGGCAAACATCTCAACCTATAAATGTGAACACCATGCCTAGAAATAGGAAAACCATGTCAAATAATGCTGGATATTAGCTAAATCAAACAGCTCATTGTTTTGGAGGAATTATCCAGCCTTTCACTGAGACATAGAGCACTGCTACTATGGACTGAAAGGGCTTGAGAGAAAGACCCGGAAGGTAAGGATTGACACTGCATGGTGGTTATGCTCACAGTGCTCTCTGTGGGTGGAAAGTTCTTTAAGAGCGTGGTAAACCCAGCAGTAAGACAGGGATTTCAGAGTCCCTGAAGTGGGTGCTCTGACTTTAATAAGTCCTACTACACAAGGGAAGTCATAGAAACTGAGCTCCGTGATTTCAGGAGGAAGTTGTATATGGATTTGAGATATCTGAGTGCAGGGATGTTTACAAAATGTCCTCAATGAACAGCAGAAAGTCTTTTCTCTTAAAGTGTCAATGAAAACGCTTACCCTTAGACACAGATGCCAGCTAGTCATGTGTAGTCAGCCAATAGAAACACAGATCCCTTTTCACACATTTACCTGGTCTCCCCACAGTCTCCGTCCAGGTTTTATGATGGTGCCTTCTCACAGACACACGGTCTCTTGCACAGCAATGTAAGCTACTGAAAAGTGGAGCCTCTTCTAATTGATAGGAAGTCCAGTCAGAACCTGAGCCAGACATGTGGTCACCTAGAGCATGCCTCCACAGGATCTGGCCCTGTAGCTGGATACACATTTTGTGTAGCCTTTTCCTCCAAGATAAGACATTCCATTTGGAGGAAAGCTCCTGAAGACAAAAGACATTCCAAATGGAGGTGAAACATTTCATAATAAGGGAGAGATGCTTAAGACACAGGAAGTAAAAGGCTTGATAGCTCCAACTAGGCTTAGAAGATGTTTGTTCCCAGTTTCTCCTGCCTCCCCAGGAAGAGTGTCAACAGCACATCTCAGTTCCACATAACCGGGGAGCACAGAATGAGAATCCACAGTCAGCTGAGGCACAGGATGCCACCCACAGGTTCCGTTCATGGAGCATCAGCCCCAGTGAGAAGACTGAAGCCACTGGATGTGGCAGCCAGGAACTGGAGCATGTCACCAGATAACACTCTGTACCTGGAAGATTGGTGGCAAGGGCCTGAATAGAACTCAGGAAAGTCATGGCTTGCTGGAACATCCAATGTGGAGCCTCAGGACCCTTCCTCCTGATGCCTCCAGGTCCCCAGTGAACCCATCTCTCTTTCTATCTCTGCTTCTCCCTGTGTGATTCCCCACCATGACCCCTTGGGGATTAGGTCTAGGGTGGGACATACTGGAGTGTGGGTGGGAACAGCCATGACTAGAAACACAGTGTCCTCTGCTGGAGACTTCCCCCAGCTGGCATTATAAATAATTGTTACACAGAGGTGGAGTGAGTTGACAAGCCCCTGAGGAGGGTACAGAGAATCCTGTGGGGTCAGCATGAAGCAGCATAGCACCTGGAAATCTTCCTCACTTGGCGAGGCACAGTGACCACAGCTTGCCAGTGTCACCTCCTGCCATAAATGCCATTTCTGGAATAGGCTACTATGGTTCTAATACTTATACCCACATTTTAGTAACCTGAAAAACAATGGAACCAAAATACTGAGAATCCACCTCTTTATTGCTAAGATAATTGCAGGGAAGAAAAGGATGTCATGAGCAGCATGGGTGGCTGAGACATTGGGGGCAGGGCCAGGCTCCACGACATCTGGCTCTGGACAGAGGTGGTACTCATGCGCTGCTCCAAAATCTTCAGGGATCGTTGTTCTGGGGACCAGGTGGTGCATCAAACAGCATTGATACTGTAGTGCTTCACTTGAAATTCACTCTCCTGGTCCTAAACCAATCCTACAAGCAGAAGAAAGGGTTGCTTTAGTACACTGAACTGTACCACCAGTGAAGAACACATGCTGTAAACTTGTATACTGGCTCAATTTTACTAACATTTTAGAACGTATATGGAGCCCATCCCTGGGTCAGTGTATGGTAGGTATGTGCTCCAGGCCTGAGCAACTCCCCTAGCAAAGCACCACATTTTTGATTGCCAAGAAACTGTTTGTTTATTTGCCTAAGCCCTAGAACAGTTGAAGTCTTACCTCAAGTGTGTACTGATAGTTCAGAATGCTGGAAACAAAAGGTTTCATTCTCATTGAAACAGTCAAAACACCCCCATGAAGCCCCAGAGGACATGTACCCCCACACCCAGTACTTCAGCTATGGGACAGACCCAGAATATTGCCCCTTCCCTCCATCAATTGGTATTTTTAATGCATTCTTTCAGGAAAGTTTGCAGATCTAGCTTGTGAGTTGTTCCTGGTCCTTGCTGTGTGTCAAAAAGTATCAAAAAGAGTTCTCTTGGAACCTGGGAGAACTACTCAAGGCCCAAAGCTGTCTGTGAAAGGTTCCATGGTGACAGCCTTTTGCGAGTATCCACAATGCACATTTTATGAGAGAAAGGGCACTTCTTCCTGCTCTATGCTTCCTCCCTAGCCTCTAAGCATACTGTGTATAAGCCTTTGCCTTTGTGGGCATGTGGTCTGGAAAAGTCCGGGCTGATTGTAATGATGAGCAGAGTTCACATACATAACCAACAAAAGACAGGTAAAAGGGTTATGGGTCGTTTGAGGTTCCTGGTCCCAGTATTGATTCAGAACTAAGCCAGGCATGGGACATTTACAGACTAGATCAAGAAGTCTGAGAAAAGGTTTTCTGAGACATGCAGAGTGAAAGAGTTGAAGGTGGGCAAGAACATGGTCTCTTCACTTAAGTGAGGCATGCGGGCTGCACGGCCATCAGAAGGTCATGGAGAACACACTATGTTCACCGAGGGTCAGACAAAGCACCTTGGCATCTTAGGTTTCAGGTGTCCAGGTTGGCATTTCCTGCCTGAGAAAATGGAGGTCTTTCCCCATCTTGAGCCTAGCCTGGGTGTGGACTGGTCTGGAGTCCTTGGGATACAACTTCAGGGTCCCACTCTTCTGCTATAATTATCCTCTAGAAACAACATCACAAGATGTGGAGCCCTCCCAAAATATTGTGTTTAGAATACTGACCAGCACATCTGCTTCCGGCACACCCATCCATCTTGCAAGATCCTTCCTGAAGTGAAAAGATTCCAACATTTAGGCTTTGTGGTGGATGTAAACTGTATAAGGACATGTCCTGATTGCTTTTAAATGTTTGTGTCCACACTTGTGTGTACACACACATGTACACAAACACACACACACACACACACACACACACACTATTCCTCACACCTGCTTTGAGACTTACTTTAGTAACAGGGTTCTTTCAGGGACCAAAATTAAGGGTAATCCCCCAAACACAGGTATGTCGTCTATGTACTTAACATGTAAGCTTCATTAAGAGAGACTCCATGATGAAAAGTGTTAGCCAAACTTTAATCTGAGGTGGAATTCCTCCTACATTTTCCCAGTCACACCTCAGGCTTCTCACTCATTCTTACAGAGACACGTTTAGAAAAAGCATTGTCTAAATTTCCCACTCACTCACGTACCACTTAAACAGGCAACAAAACACATTCTTTCCACTTGGACTAGGGCACATCCCCCTACTCCAGAATCCAATTTCTGCTGAAGGGTCCAGACATGGTGGCTTTGTTTCTAGAGGGAATCGGGGTTCAGGGAGCACCAAAGGATAGCCTGGATACACTGCCTGAAAACCTGGCACCTAGCAGGGCGTTCTGCTTACCTTACTTGAAAGCTGGGGTAGCGATTCTCTTTGAAAAGACGCTCTAGGTCCCGCAGCTGAGACTGGGTGAATCTGGTGCGTCTCTGGAAAGGCTGCCTGTCCCCAGCCTGGAGACTCTTGGTGCCCTCAGGCATTGCTGCCTCTTGCTGAGGCTGCTGTTCAATACTGCTGCCATGACCACCTTCCGCGGGGATCCCCTGGTCCATGGGATCAGAACTACCATCTCCAGCTTGTCCTCCTTCCATTTCTTCTTCTTCGTTTTCTCCCTCCTCTACCACTCCTGTGGCTTCCTGAGTAAGACCGGATTGAGCAAGTTCTTCTTGAGCAGGCTTGCTTGGGGCAATTTCGCCCAGAGCAAGTTCGCCCTGACCAAGCTCACCCTGAGCAAGCTCGCTCTGTACAAGCCCTTTCTTGCCTCCTTCCTCTCCAGCCTTCAGGACCACTGTATTCCCACCTGCAAGAGAGAAAAACATAAAGATAAAGGTCTGAGCATCGTGGCCCATGGATCAATGGAAAGCCTGGAGAGGGGTCACAGGCAGAGCCGGGTAATCCAAGTGCCGGGCCACTGGCCTTTCCACCAAATTTGCTTCCCGGACTTCGCCCAAGTCCAATCAGAACCATTTTACTGACCATGCTCTTGTTCCTGGTGCTCATCAGCTCCTGGACTCAGCATCCTGTTGAAACTGTGGCAGTAACCCTCACGAGTCTCCTTGCTGGGAATCTGTCAATCAGACCCGAGTTCTGAAAACTTAAAAGCCGTGTCCTCACGGTCTGACGCCAGAGGTACAGCTGTGACCTGTGACTCTTAACCCGGAAGACTTGTCTTCTGGAGACTCAACGTAATTACAATGTGTCCAATCACACATTCTGGCCTGCACAGCCTCAGTGGCTGTGGGCTTGTCCTCTGAGGTGCTTAGCCTGAAGCACTTTAGAGCTGCAAAGAGCAGGGAATACTTTAAAAACTGCAGTGAGTGTGTGCGGTGGGGGTGCGGAACCTGTGGCTCTGGTTTGCTCCTTAGCTGACACCTCTAGTTTTGGGTAATGCTGGACTGTCCAAATTCAGTCATAGGGAGTAACAAAAAGACCTTTTCAAACTAAGCAGGCCCTTGAGCCCAGCTAAATCACTTTATTAAATTATGGAAATGTCCTTCAAACAAAATGCCCCAATCTTGGTTGTGCTGCCTTGAAGAGCCCTGTATGATGGCAACTATGTGGGTAGGCCAGGGCAAGATCCTCCTGAGAGACTGTGCTCCAGACAGGGCTGAATTCCACCAGTGTTCACAAGCTCATTGTGATGGAGACCTTTCCCTACCTAGCTGTGCTTGACCAAGGTCCTAGGGTGACCCAGACGGCATCAAAGATCAACCCTGGGTACTGGCTCCAAACCTGTCTCACAGCTGTGAAGGTGAAAGACAGGAGGAGTAAGCAATTCTGGATGCAAGCTCTACAAAGAATCATTGCAGGAAGGGGCGAACTGAGGAAAAGTTAGAGAGACTCCCCAGAGCAGGTGACATTCCCAAAATTTAAAAGAGCCACTGAGCTCTGTCATTTCGTGGTTTTTGTTTTTAATAGGATCATGGTAGAGTCTGGACAATGGCTGAGGTAATTGTTAGGAGATGGTTTATTTCTCTGGGATAGCATAGGCTGAGACATGGAGGTCCCACGGTCCACATGGTCTAGCCCACACCAAGGAGATGATCATGCTCTGTTCACCCATTGCCCACCTAGTCAGGGGTGGCTCAATCCCCTCCCACCACAGGCCCCTTTATCCATCCCTGACTAGGGCTTTGTGAGTTGTGGACCTTGACTGTCTTGTCGCCATTAGCCACTGCATGGTCCTGTGTCCTCTGACATTTCAGCTGTCCCAGGTGCTTTTAATTATACTCAGCTCTCTTTCTTCTCACAGTCACCAAGAAGCAGCTGCAACTGTCCTTCCTCTTCTCCTTGTCTCCTGGGTCATTGTGAAAGGCTTCCCTGAAACACCGAAATGGGAGGCTTTCTTAGACACAGACTTTACTCACTCTCACAATTAGCTGGTGGAGAAGCTAGGCTATTTTAGGAGACAATAGTGCCATGGGTGCTTTCCTGAAGGACTTGGTGGCCTGGTTGGACTGCCCACACTAGACAGGAGCCCTGTCTGTACCAGTGTGAGACAGCTTGACTGTCCTACTGATCGCAGAAACTGTTTGTGTCTCATCTTTGGTGTTCCTGGCTTGACTGTTTCAAATCAACCCTCCTTTTAGCCCTAGCATCCCTGCAACATATGCGAGCAACTTAGAAATTTGAACGTGAGTGCTTTTTCCTCACTAAGGACAGAGACCTACCTCCTGCATCCATACTCCGAGACTAGAAGGGCACTAAAGAAGTAGCATATGACCAGATATTTCCTCTTTTGTGTGGGATTATTTGGGAGCCCTGGTGCCTGAGTAGGACTTTTCCTTCTATCAAAAGACTTGCCTCCCAGTTCTGGTTACTCCCTCACCAATAAACCATGGCTGGCTCCTCTGGGTCCGCCTCCTTCGGAACCTGGCTGCTGTGGTCACCTTCAGGACCCAGGCTGTTGTAAGGGCTCATGTGGCCTCCCTGGTTGAGGTTGCCCTGTTGGTTCTCACTGTCGTCCAGGCTTAGAGCTCCTTCATAGACCCTGCCACCTTCCTCGGCTGCTCCCTCCTGTTCAGGGTGTGGATCACTGTCCTCCTCATAGTCCTCCAGATGATAGTAGAAGTTGTCGTTGTAATTGTGCAGGTGCTCCATGGCTGCTGCTCCTAAGAAGCCTGTTCACCAGCAACCTCCCTGAGGTCTTGGGCAGGAGCCTTGCCCTGGGGTCTTTCAGAAGGTTGCTGCCACAAAGTTTCAGGCTCTCCTCTGCTATTGGCTTTCTGTGTGCCTCCTACATTAGTGGATGAGTCTCTGAAGTGAGAATGGGCTGGGGCGTGGCTCAAGCATGGAATGGGGGAAGGACAGTGAATCTTACTTTTAGAAGACCTGCTCAGATCTGGCCACCTGCCCTGGCCCGTGCCCTTGGACCTCACAGAACACCTTAGGAATGGAGCTATGGGAGATTGCAGGCTGATTATAGCATGGAGAGTGGGGAACGGGGGAAAACTCACAATGAGCACATGAGGCTTGGGTGAAGACTGGAGAATTTCTCATCATCCCAGACCCCACATTTCCGAGTCTCTATCACACCTTAAACGAACAGACGAGGCTGAGACCATATGCTCCCTGAGCTGGAATGGAAGAAAAGAGACAGAAACCTCCCTCTGTCCAGGATGGTTGGATTCTCCTCTCCCTCTGAAGAATTAGGACTCTGGCCAGTGTGGCTCCTAGTGCCTGGATGTCCATAGACAGGGTGCAAACCACACATCATGTACCACTTCCTCCCACTGTCAAAGTTTCTATCTGGGTCTAGGGTGGGCCTTACTCGAGTGTGGGTGGGAACAGCCATGACTAGAAATACAGTGTCGTCTGCTGGGGACTTGCCCCACCTCACATTATAAATAATTGTTCCACAGAGGTGGAGTGAGAAGACAGTGGCATGATGATGGTACAGAGAATCATGTGGGGTCAGCATGAAGCAGCACAGCACCTGGAAATCTTCCTCACTCAGCAAGGCACAGTGACCACAGCTTGCCAGTGTCACCTCCTGCCATAAATGCCATTTCTGGAATAGGTTACTATGGTTCAAATACTTATACCCACATTTTAGTAACCTGAAAAACAATGGAACCAACATACTTAGAATCCACCTCTTTATTGCTGATATAATTGCAGGAAAGAAAATGATGTCATGGCCAGCCTGGGTGGTCCAGATATTGGGGGCAGGGCCAGGTTCCATGACATCTGGCTCTGGACAGAGTTGGCACTCAGTACTGCTCTACAATCTTCAGGAATCGTTGTTCTGGGGACCAGGTGGTGCATCGATCAGCACCACTATTCCATTGCTTCTCCTGAAAATGGCTCTCCTGGTCCTAAACCAATCCTACAAGCAGAAAAAAGGGTTGTTTTAGTATACTGAACTGTACCACCACTGAAGAACACATCCTTTAACCATGTATACTGGCTCAATTGTACTAACATTTTAGAACGTATATGGAACCCATCCCTGGGCCAGTGTGTGCTAGGTATGTGCTCCAGGACAGAGCTACTCCCCTAGCAAAGCACCACATTTCTGATTGCCCAGAAACTGTTTGTTTATCGACCTAACCCCAAGAACAGTTGAAGACGTACCTCAAGTGTGTACTGATTGTTCAGAATGCTGGAAGCAACAGGTTTCATTCTCATTGAAACAGTCAAAACACCCCCATGAAGCCCCTGAGGATATGTACCCCCACACCCAGTCCTTCTGCTATAGAATAGACCCAGAATATTGTCTATTCTCTCCATCAATTGATATTTTTAATGCATTCTTTCAGGAAAGGATGCAGATCTAGCTCATGGGTTGTTCCTGGTCCTTACTGTGTGTTGAAAAATATCAAAAACAATTCCTTGGAACCCAGGAGAACTATCCCAAGGCCCAAAGCAGTCTGTGAAAGGCTCCATGGTGATAGCCTTTTGTGAGTATCCAGAATGCATATTTTATGAGACAAAGGGCACTTCTTCCTGCTCTATGCTTCCTCCCTAGCCTCCAAGCATACTGTGTATAGGCCTTTCCCTTGTGGGCATGTGGTTTGGAAAAGCCAGGGCTGATTGTATTGTTCAGCAGAGTTCTCATACATTACCAACAGAAGACATGTAAAAGGGCTATGGGCCTTTTGAGGTTCCTGGTCCCAGTATTGATGCAGAATTAAGCCAGGAATGTGACATTTACAGACTAGATCAAGAAGTCTGAGAAAAGGTTTTCTGAGACCCACAGAGTGAAAGATTTGAAGGTGAACAAGAACATGGTCTCTTCACTTAAGTGAGGCATGCGGGCTGCATGGCCTTCAGAAGGTCATGGAGAACACACTATGTTCACTGAGGGTCAGACAAAGCACCTTGGCATCTTAGGTTTCAGGTGTCCAGTTGGCATTTCCTGCCTGAGAAAATGGAGGCCTTTTGTCATCTTGAGACTAGCCTGGCTGTGGACTGGTTTGGCATCCTTGGGATGCAACATCAGGTCCCAATTTGCTGCTGCACCTCTCTTCTAGACAGCACCATCACAAGATTTTGAGCCCTTCCAAAACATTAATTTTTCTAAAATACTGACCTGCACATCTTCTTCCTGCACATCCATAGATCTTGCAAGAGCCTTCCTGAAGTGAAAAGATTCCAACATTTAGGCTTTTTGGTGGGAATAACCTGTATAAGGACATGTCCTGATTGCTTTTAAATGTTTGTGTCCACACTTCTGTGTACACACATGTACATACACACACACACACACACACACACACACACACACACACACACACACACATATGAGCACACACACACAGAGACACAAACACAGTATTCCTCACACCTACTTTGAGACTTACTTTAGTAACAGGTTTCTTTCAGGGACCAAAATTAAGGGTAATCCCCCAAGCACAGGGATGTCTTCTATGTACTTAACATGTAAACCTTCATTAACAGAGCCCCCACGATGAAATGTGTTAGTCAAATTTTAATCTGAGGTAGAATCCCTCCTGCATTTTCCCATCCACAACTCAGGCTTCTCACTCATACTTACAGAGACTTATTTAGAACAAGCATTGTCTAAATTTCCCACTCACGTGCCACTTAAACAGGCAACAAAACACAATCTTTCCAGTTGGACCAGGGCACATCCCCCTACTCCAGAATCCAATATCTGCTGGAGGGTCCAGACATGGTGGCTTTGTTTGTAGAGGAAATCAGGGTTCAGGGAGCACCAAAGGACAGCCTGATGCACTGCCTGAAAACCAGGCGCCTAGCAGGGCCTTCTGCTTACCTTGCTCGCAAGGTGGGGTAGCGATTCTCTTGGAAAAGACGCTCCAGGTCCTGCAGCTGAGACTGGGTGAATCTGGTGCGTCTCCGGAAAGGCTGCCTGTCCCGAGCCTGGAGATTCTTGGTGCCCTCAGGCATTGCCACCTCTTGCTGAGGCTGCTGTTGAACACATCCGCCACGGCCACCTTCTGCCTGGATCCCCTTGTCCATGGGGCCAGAACTACCATCGCCAGAATGACCTCCTTTCATTTCTTCTTCTTCGTTTTCTCCCTCCTCTACCACTCCTGTGGCTTCCTGAGTAAGACCGGACTGAGCAAGCTCTTCTTGAGCAGGCTTGCTTGGGGCAAGTTCGCCCAGAGCAAGTTCGCCCTGACCAAGCTCACCCTGAGCAAGCTCGCTCTGTACAAGCCCTTTCTTGCCTCCTTCCTCTCCAGCCTTCAGGACCATTGCAATCTCACCTGCAAGAGAGAAAAAACACAAAGATAAAGGTCTGAGCATCGTGGCCCATGGATCATTGGAAAGCCTGGAGAGGGCCCACAGGCAGAGCTGGGTAATAGAAGCACCTGGCCACTGGCCTTTCCACCAAATTTGCTTCCCGGACTTTGCCCAAGAAGAGTCAGAACCATTTTACTGACCATGCTCTTGTTCCTGGTCTTCATTAGCTCCTAGACACAGCATCCTGGCGAAAATGTGGCAGCAGCTCTGGAGAGACCCCATGCCAGGAATCTTTCAATCAGACCCGAGTTCCGAAGACTTAAAAGCCGTGTCCTCACGGTCTGACGCCAGAGGTACAGCTGTGACTCTTAACCCGGGAGGCTTGTCTTCTGGAGACTCAACGTAATCACAATGTGTCCAATCACACATTCTGGCCTGCACAGCCTCAGTGGCTGTGGGCTTGTCCTCTGAGGTGCTTAGCCTGAAGCACTTTAGAGCTGCAAAGAGCAGGGAGTACTTTAAAAACTGCAGTGAGTGTGTGCGGTGGGGGTGCGGAACCTGTGGCTCTGGTTTGCTCCTTAGCTGACACCTCTAGTTTTGGGTAATGCTGGACTGTCCAAATTCAGTCATAGGGAGTAACAAAACGACCTTTTCAAACTCAGCAGGCCCTTGAGCCCAGCTAAATCACTTTATTAAATTATGGAAATGTCCTTCAAACAAAATGCCCCAATCTTGGTTGTGCTGACTTGAAGAGCCCTGTATGATGGCAACTATGTGGGTAGGCCAGGGCAAGATCCTCCTGAGAGACTGTGCTCCCAACAGGGCTGAACCAGTGTTCACAAGCTCATTGTGATGGAGACCTTTCTCTACCTAGCTGTGCTTGACCAAGGTCCTAGGGTGACCCAGATACCTGAGGGCATCAAAGATCAACCCTGGGTACTGGCTCCAAACCTGTCTCACAGCTGTGAAGGTGAAAGACAGGAGGAGTAAGCAATTCTGGATGCAAGCTCTACAAAGAATCATTACAGGAAGGGGCGAACTGAGGAAAAGTTAGAGAGACTCCCCAGAGTAGGTGACATTCCCAAAATTTAAAAGAGCCACTGAGCTCTGTCACTTCTTTGTTTTTGTTTTTAATAGGATCATGGCAGAGTCTGGACAATGGCTGAGGTAATTGTTAGGAGATGGGTTAGTTCTCTGGGATAGCATAGGCTGAGACACTGGAGGTCCCACGGTCCACATGGTCTACCCACACCAAGGAGATGATCATGCTCTGTTCACCCATTGCCCACCTAGTCAGGGGTGGCTCAACCCCCTCCCACCACAGGCCCCTTTATCCATCCCTGACAAGGGCTTTGTGAGTTGTGGACCTTGACTGTCTTGTCGCCATTAGCCACTGCATGGTCTTGTGTCCTCTGACATTTCAGCTGTCC